TCTTGGGGACCTTCGACGCAAAAATTTTGGCCTGTCTGTGTGTACATTTGTCTGTTTTCCCACGGTGACAATCTCCCTAACGGCACTTAACGATAACTCAAATGGCCAACCCTATCCGCAGCGACCACCAATATTTCTCAAGTTTCAACGTTCACACTTGTACAATTGTCAATTAAAAATCAATTATTGCGCATATCCGAGGCACCATAACAACACGTATATGTTCTGTATGTGCGTGTTTTACTAGAAAATGCATACATGAGTAAATATAAGGCCCGTAGCGTTTATCACGCTGCGCTGACAACGCAATGCTTTCACGAAAAAGAAAGTGCTTCCAACGCTTTGCTAAGATTACATAATGGTGGCAACTGCCCGTCGCTTTGCGTTCTGCAACTAATCACCTACGAGACAGGCGCGCATCTTTCTTTGCGGGCGTGCACACCTTACTTCATTTTAGAAGATAACTGCCAGATGGCGCTCGTGTCTAACGTGCCTCGATGCACTCGTTCGACTTCGCTGCACGGATAGAGACTAATGCAGCGCTTTCAGAATACAATTCAACAATTTTCTCGCGCAGAACATCAAATAAACGTTTTGTTCACTCTCTCCACACACAAGACTATCGTCTTTCGACGACATTTGCAGTGAAACGTGCAGATACGGGGCCAATTTTCTTGTTCGCTTAACTGCTCGAAACGCGTTTACATAGAGTCGGTATAAACATGCTCGCTCGTAGATTACATGAAAACTATCTGCACCAATACAAACAAAGCAACCTTACCTCAGTGGGAAGGATGTTTCGTAGCTTGTAAAAGGCATAGACATCGTATTTTCTTGCATACTTTCACCGAGAAAGTGTGGCGAATCACCTCATCGACACCAGCTGCTTCTTCTTCAGCTTCGTCTTTTCGCGATTTTCATATTTCTATATATTTAAGGAAGGAGCATTTCAAAGCATAATGTTGTTATTTATCTCGTTAATCTAGATTGTATTGGTTCTCTATTTTTGTTTAACGGGACGCGAAACGCCGAGGTGGGAAAAACATTTGTGGTATTTAGCGCAGATAAATTATACGTTCTGTAAAGAGCACAGCAGCGCCGCAAGGAGTGCGAGAGCACATAAGTGACGCTCGTCTCGTGTTTAAAAGTGGCATACTACACTGAATGCAAATCAGACGCATTTTGAACATTTCGTCATTCAACTTATTATATTTAATCAGTACGCTCACTACTATCTATCTATCTATCTATCTATCTATCTATCTATCTATCTATCTATCTATCTATCTATCTATCTATCTATCTATCTATCTATCTATCTATCTATCTATCTATCTATCTATCTATCTATCTATCTATCTATCTATCTATCTATCTATCTATCTATCTATCTATCTATCTATCTATCTATCTATCTATCTATCTATCTATCTATCTATCTATCTATCTATCTATCTATCTATCTATCTATAGCACACAGCCGCCTACGTCTGAGTGCTCTCGTGGTCAGCTCCTTAACTTGGGGTAAACCAAAATAAGTATGGGAAAGTAAGACGAATTGACAAATTCTATTCGCTGGTCATGACGTGTATAATGTCCTAATCCCGTCACGCACGTCATAAAATACTTTCCGTAATACAGTGACACAAACCCGCGGGCTGCTATGTGCCACTATTATGCGGGTATGTGCCCCAGGTGATTGACACTTCATATCTACCCAAGAATGGTGAGAACCCAAATAAGCAATTTTAACACGTGAGCATTAAAGAAAAGCTAGCATCAGCAGCGTTGACCCAACAAACTTGCAAAGAATAAACGTCAGGGTCCCAGCAGCAATCAAACCCCAGCATTTCGCGTGGCAGTCAACCATTATACCACAGAGCCACACCAGGTTTGTTCGTGAAACGTCAATAGGGGCTACAGGGCTGGCTATCCAATTTTATAAACATTACCTATGATACAGCTGTCACGTCCCGTCGGGTTAACGTCAATCGTTGTTTGGTGTCATTAGCTGAAGTTTATGTAACAGTGTCCAGGCCTGCCATCCTCGCGAGCGCCAGCGCTTCATATAGGCTTACCGCTTCTGTTGCTAATATCCGTGTCGCTATTGGTAACGTTATGTAACTGTAAACTGGTTATATAAACGTCATATGCGGCCGTTGAACGTATGTGTGGGCGTGCATTTGTGCATATCTTGACCGCCCCTCCATATCGTGTCGCTCAATGAAAAAAATCACACAAGGTCGCGTTTAATGCACATGCATCACCTAACATCGATTCCCAATTCCCAAGGTACGTGGAATCATGCTGCTTATCACTTTCCTTGCTACAATATCTGCTCTAGAACGGTCTTGACGATTCCCATTGCATTTGCAGAAAAAAAAAGTGCCATACACTATTGCCGAATAAGCGTCCATCATAACCGGTACATCCATTCAACTTTTTTCACGGCGAGACACTTTTGTGTAAGAAATTACGGTTGGTTGCGTATTTTTTGGCACTTAATGCACTCAAAGCGTAGATAATTGCTGCTTAAAAGGCTTTGCTGCTGATTGCACCACCATCGGCAACACCACCACCAGCAGTAGCTCGGACCCCTGTCGGGTTGAATCAGGGGTCGGGATGGGCCAAGGCCGGTCCAAGTTTAGATGTGGAGCATTTTTTTGCTCGGGTCTATGTCGCGTGGCGTCGGCGTCCGCTCTCGCACTCCGTATGCACAACGCCTTTCCTCTCCTATGCTTCCGCATCTCGCGTCGCAACGCCAACGCAGGGAGCGTTGGCGTTGGCGTTGCGACGCGAAATGCGTTGCGTTGGCGTTGGCATTGCGACGCGAGATGCGGGAGCGTCTGCTAACCTACGTGCGCTCCCCCTCTCCTCAAGGCATTCTTCCCCTCGGCACTTACACCGGCATTGTGCACGTGCGTCTTCTCCCCCTATCTCCATATACACATGGTTCCCGTTAGCGCGAGATGGCGTAATTATTTTAGGGGCGAAGCTCCTTATAGCGGCACCCGTTCGTCCCGCGTCCCGTCGTAGTATGTAACCAGTCTTACGCTTTGACCTGCAAGGTGGTGCCGGTGAGAAATTTTTCTCGGGTTCGGGCCAAGCCCATGTATCACTTCCAGTCACCGGGCCGGGTTCTAGCAGGTGCGCAAGTGCACGTGGCATTTAACGGACTAGTAGTGGGTACTTCGCCAATCAGCGAAAAGAAGGACCAAGGTGTAGTGGACACACAGAAACTGTAAATCCAGAGGACGTTCTATGGGATAGTTAGGAATGGTCAATGGTACGCGCACAAACGTCCTTCTCATTGCGACATGGTTGGACAATGCGCACGAGGCCCTGATTATATGCTATCATGGTCTGCGCTGACGGCGAAGCTCAAGAAGCTTCGAAGTTTTCGCGATAGTTTATTATTGTTTATTATTAAATGAGATGCATTTTTTAGCGAACTTCGACGACATTCAGCGTATCTATCTATATCTAGCCGCTGACGTCTGGGTGCTGTCGTGGTCAGCCCCTTAAGTTGGCGTGAACCAAAATTAGCATGGGAGGGTAAGATGGTTTGACGAATATGACACGCTGGTTAAGACATGAATGATGTGACAATCTCGTCCCGTACGTCGTCAAACACTTCCCGCCAGACAGTGACACATACCCGCCCGTGGGTATGTGCGACAGGTGATTGACACTTAGTATCCACCCAGGAACGACGAGAACACACATGGGAAATCTCAGCGCGCGAGCGTTAAGAAATACCCGACCTTGGTAGCGTTGACACGATGAATGCAAAGAATAAACGTCAGGGTCATAGCGGCAATCCAACCCCAGCATATTGTGTGGAAATCAAGTATTCTACCACAGAGCCACGCCAGGTCTGTTCGTGAAACGTCAATAGTGACAGTCGAACTGGTATCTAATTTTATAATCATTACATATCTACTCCTATGATATAGCCATCACTTCCCATTCGGGTTAACGTCAATCACTGTTAGGTGTCATTAGCTGAAGTTTATTGACGTAACAGTGTTCAGGGCCAGCATCCTGCGAGCATCATCGCTTCATATCAGCTTCTGGTGTTGCTAATACTCATGTTTCATATGACATTGTTACGCAAGTGTAAACAACTGATTTTATAAACATCTGCAACTCTGCAACATTTGTCTGTGCGTGCAACATTCGTACATATATTTAGCGTCATTTCATGTCTTGTTGCTCTAAACAAAATTGCAACACGGTCAGCTTCCCTCCGCATGCTTCACATAACGGCGATTCCCAGGTACATGGGATCTGCCGAATTTTTTTTTTTGATATCATGCAGAGATAGCCGACTCCTACACAGCTTACCTTTCCACATTTTCTCATCCAAACGAAGAAACGAAAAATATTCACTTGTGATGACCATATTGCGTCGGAGTGCGTCCTTGATCTTCTCATGCAGGCACACAACGAATCCCTTCACAGTTCATCACAAAACTATTACTGAAAATTGGCAGTGAATTCCCCGTTGCTTACTCCACGTCGATACAAAGCTTTAATTCAATTTCTTGGCTCTAAGTTGTTTAGAGATGTGCAGTACGCGAGACTATCAGTGGCAGAAAGAGTTGCTTCCCTGCGGCAGTCCATGAGCAGTTCAACACGAGTAATCAACGAGAGGGTATAAGGCAGACTTAAGATAACATTTATAAATCAGTTCTTGACTTCGTGTATGGTAAGACGTCAATGCGGTGACAAAACTACGGTAAGGCATATGCGTCTGCGATGTGCAATAAGCTAAAAGAAAAACCTTTTCTGCGGTTATAAAGGAAAAAAAAACGTGTGCGAAAAGGATGAGCAATATCCGTGATGTATTTGTTTACGATTCAGCAACAATAATACCGCCAAGTAGGTTGCGTAAAAAGCGTCGCTTCTTGCCATAATACTAAGACAAGCTGGCCCTATAGGCAGCCAAGTGACCGGTTGCGCCTGGGATGTGAATCCAGGTGGCGCTCACGTCGCGGTTATTGGCGACGTAAGTGTTCCGAGATGAAGTCAAGTGGGTGGCGGATGGTGACTGTGATCTTCTTGGCCGGCTTCAGGTGAGGGTTGCTGCTGGGGATGTAGGTGGCGCACACACGTATCAGCACAACTGTCGCCACCGCACTGAGCACGATGCCCAGGGCTGTTAGGAACCAGTGACGCTGTGGAACATTGTCAGATGACCCAATCATTGGAGTGCAATGGAAGGAATGCACAGGTACAGTTATATTAGCGGTATTTTTGCATTGTGAATCGTTTAGTCATGTTTATCCAACTCTTGGTCACTATTTATCAAGCGTTAGTTGGTGATAATGAGTGAAGAACCATATAGTTTTATGTTACGTCACTTGCTCAAGCGCCCCTCAAGATTTTTTTATGCACTGTGAGGGTGCTGTTTTTAAAGCACTATTCAGCCAGACTGTTTTTTTTATAAGGTGTCACTTGTTTTGATGTACCGGAACAACAACAGCAACATGAACAGAACAAACTAACGGTGTACTGCGCGCAAAAAGTAATTGATAGAAATATTCAATCTTCAACTTATTTCAGTTTTCAAACGAACCTATTAGGTTAAGAGAATCCAGGGGTTGCACGAGATTAGCTGGATGTGCACTTACCACGAGCAGGTTAGGGAATTCCTTGTTCCCTAGCACGAGCCACTGGAGCCTGGTGAGTGGACCTTCAGTGTCGATGTGGCGGCACTGCTGGAACACGTCGCAGTAGCCGTGATTGTGGTCGCACAGGGCTCCGGGCTGCAGCTTCTTGTGGCAGAGGCTACGCATGCGACGGAAGGAACACGCTTCGCGGCACTCGCTGCCCGGATCTGGGATGACAATATTCGGGGGGGGGGGGGGGGAAGTCAGGAAAAGTCGAAGCCCGAAAGAAATTTTAGAGAATCACAGCACGTTCACGGAGTGAACAATGATGAGTGGGGTGAAGCATCCGTCCATGCATGCGTCCTTGCGTGCGGTCGCGTTCGAGGATGCAGATGGCGCGCGGGTAACACCGACGAGACGCGAGCCACGGAAGCCAAGCGGCAAGCGTCTTGAACGCACCCACCGCTCTGCTACGTCCATGCCCCACCAACGATCCACCACGTTCTCATGAACTTCTCATGAACTCCTTTAGCATCCGATGTGGCGCTACTCAACAAAACGCAAACGTCAGAAAAGGTGGTCGCTGCAGCGAGTGATGAGACCTTTTGCGCTGTCTCTCGCTTTGACGCAAAGTGAGTGCTGCGAAAAAGCACGTACAAAAGGCACGACTTCGCGTGCGATCGCACCCGACAGCTTAACGTACGCGATTCCAGCCAAAGCCACGCAGCACTCTTTTCTGGTATTGTGAAATTGCTTTAGGTTCTGAGTAATTGTATTCCTCAAATTATCAGGCATTGCGCGGTAGGGGTACTCCGAATTAATTTTTGTATCAGTGAGCGTTCCTTTATGTCTATATATGTACATTTCTTTTGAATTTAGCCCAGATCGAAATGTGGCAATGGTTAGGGTATCGAATCCAAGTCCTTGATCTCATCAGCACCACACACTAGCTGCTGCTAACGCGTACTGGCGTGCACTTTATACCTGTGAGTCGGATATGCCACTTACAAGCAGCAGCTTTGGGCTACTAGTTGCTTGTAAAATGTTTCAATCGCTTGCCGCGTTCCCACTTTAAATACACTTAGCCTATAGAGTGCGTTACGTTCATTAGTAGTGCGTTTGATGATTTTGATATTGTAGGACAGTTGAGAGAGCGTTGAAATCAAAGTTTTGCGGGTGTCTCGAGATGAATTGATGGAAAGTCTTTTATCGAGAAATAGGGAGGCGCAGGTCCTCTGCCGGGATGGGCGGGACTTTGTCATCCTTCACAGTGTCATGAAGAAAATAAGTATACATTTGACAGATTCTTTTTTTCATTAGACACTGTTTTAATGCTATATAACAAAAAATCTTGCCAAGTAAAGTATAGGTGACGTTATTGGAAGTAATTGTAACGTAAATGTGAAGAAAGAAAAGTGGACGAAAATATAACTCCACGTGAACAGGGACGAAACCTGCGACTTTCGAATAACGCGTGAGATGCTCCACTCATTCCCACTCATACAGGTTTTTCTACTCATTTAAGTTGCTGTCACTTGCACTGAGGGAGTGTGCGGTCAGGGCTGGGATAAGTTCCCAAGCCACCGTGATCAGGCCTCTTAGACTTTCAAATTGTCACACGCGTTTCTTGCTTCCGGTTTGTTGTATTCGGTTCACACCCTCAAAGAATGTCAGCAATGCTCAGCGCAGACCACGCCTCAGGGTTCGAGAAGCTTGGCGACTATAATAAATCGTTTTTTTTTCAATATAGTACGCCCTACGCAAACAGCCGAGATTATTCTGGGTTACCTGGTGTGAGCAAACGTAGACGAACGACAACAGAAAAGAATAGGCAGGGACAAGCACAAGCGTTTGTCCCTGTCTATTCTTTTCTGTTGTCGTTCGTCTGCATTTTCGAACACCAGGTTATACCCAGAATTATGAACCAACTCGCACAGCTACAAGTTTTACTGAACAAGCTTATTCCAGAGCTTACGCGGCCACCAGCGATGACGCTGGAATCTTCCATAGCGCACGTATCAAACCCGACGCGCTTTACCACCAGTCAGTTTTATTGATGGCCGATGCTCTATTCGCTGATGTAAGCGTAGAGCATGCATTGCTTGCTGCAGTCTTCGCCGGCCGGCCGCGAGTTTGGTCAAATAAAGAGTTTCATTATGTACACTGTCCTTTTTTATGAAAGGGAACGCGCGAACGCGTGGCCTGCGTTCTGCGGCGGCTGCCTACTGCACCAGCCAACAAGTGAAGAAAGCACTTTCGCTTCTCGTGTCATCTATGGCCAAGCAAGATAACGTGTTATGACCGGTAGACAAGCGCTGTTAGATTACTTTCCCTGATCGCTCACGCGGCGAGCGATATCAGGCGATTACTGCAGCTTGCGCCGCGGTCGCGAACGACGTTTGATATGTTGGCAGTGGATTACGCACTGCAGGCGTGAGCAGACATAAAGTGCAATCGAGCAGCGCTTGTCTACCGGCCATAACTCGTTATTATTTTTTTCGGCAACAGATGACGCTGAAAGCGAACGTGTTTCCTTTTGCTGTCAGTTTATGGTGCTGTAGGCAGCCGCCGCAGAGCACAGGCCACGTGTTCGCGTGTTCCCTTTCATAAAGGACGACAGTGTACAAGCCAGCTGCCGCCGTCGTTCTCGTCCCTGTTTCGTGGCAATATTGGGCAAATAATAGTTCAGTGTTGTGGTCTGTAAGTGGCGCTTCCCTATGTATTCGTTTTTCATACATTGCAAACGTGCAATGAATGGTAGGGTAGCTCCCGCGAACAGTACGTTAATAAAAGAAAAATAAGTATTCTTATTCACAGTTGAGTAAATTTTTCGAAGTACAAAAATAATTAGTTATTCTTTTACCTTCAAATCACTTTTGTTGGGCTTTTTATTTATGAAGTTATATTCAAGAAACATTATTAAATCTCGTCATACTTTGATCTGCTCTAGAAAAGACGCGCCACTTTTTGGATTAAGTTCCGGGAAGATCTCCAGCTTGAGAGCTCGGCAGCTTCGGGCAACACTGTCGTGCGTGTACAGCATACTGGGGGTTTACTCCCAGCCAGACATGGTAGTCTAATGGCTATTGCACTCCCGCCGCAAAGGTCAAGTGGCTAAATTACTCACTCGGCTGCTCACCCGCAGGTCACGGGATCGAATCCCGGCTGCGGCGGATGCATTTTCTAGGAAGGCGAAAATGCTGCAGGTCCATGTGCTCAGATTTGGGCGCACGTTAAAGAACCCCCCGTGTTCGAAATTTCCGGAGCCCTTCACTACGGTGTCTTTCATAATCATATGGTGATTTTGGGACGTTAAACCTCACTGTCACGGACGGCCATTTTTGGCGACAACGCATCACGGCAATTAACGGGCGCCGTACTCCCCGACTGACCGTGAGAAACGGCGGCACATGAAAGGGAACCGATAAGTGCAAAATGGGGGTGCTCTCCTTAGAACGTCGCCGCCGACAGTTAATCCTTTTGTAACCGTGGCGACGTCTGCAAGGTCGTAGAAGGCCGCGGTATACCCCGAACAAGGATTAGACTACAAGACGCACCGGCTGAGAGCCAAACGTTTGACCGTTCCCACGGGGAAAAGCGTGGGAAACGCTCTGGTGGCCAAGCCGTATGACAACAACCGGACAGGTTGTCACTCTCGCTAGTTGAGGGCCCTCTCCCAATTAAAAAGGAGTGGGGTCAAAATATTTTTGGGGTGGAGTTTCCCATCAATTAAACGCGCATGATTGGACCCAGGTAGAGGTCTCTTGTCCCCAAGGAAGAGAGCGAGGAGACACGAGGGGGATTTAAGCGCAGGTATTTGCCCTGCTAGGCAGACTAGTCGCTGACCAAGATGGTGTAGAAACAGATCAACAAGCATCTCTTCTAGAAGTTTTTAGTGTGGCTCTGTATCGGCTGGCCACCTAAACTTAGCCGGTCGTCTAGTTGTGACGCGATATTAACGTCTGCAACGTAGACATCGGGACTTCGCCTCGAGTTAGCTCAACCTGCTCGAAGTCACCTGCAAGCACTAGCCTCCCGGAGCCACCAGCGTTGCAACACCGCCGACATCGCAGTCGTGCCAGAACTCTCTTCGACTTCTCGCATCCGATCGTCGGGGACGCAACGCTGCCGGTCATCACACGTATGCCTTCACCTGTTTATATCTTCGAACTTTCTCCTCCGTCGTTCTATTCTTGTTAGTTTGTGTAGTTTGTAATAGTTCTCTCTCGTAAGCTGGTTTATTGTTTTGTTTTTATATGTATTTTTTAGTTGTATCAAGTGTTGATGTATTTTGTTAGTTGTATTGAAGTATTGTACTACATCCCGTGTGCTGCAATATCACTAGAGTAAAGTTGTTTTGTTTTCTCACATATCTGATCTCTTCACTGTCTCTGCTTGCGTACGGAACGAACTAACCTGCTGTCATTCCCGTCGCCGACTTCGCGCTGGCGACGCTAGAGTGGCAGCTTGTAACACTCACGTATCAATCAAATCAGTCAATCAATGCTTATCGTACTCTACCGCTGACCCAAATGCTGCGGGATCGAATCCCGGCCTTGGAGGCTGCGTTTAAATGAAGGTGGATTGCTAGAAGCTCGTGTGCTCATATTTAGGTGCGCGTTAAAGAACACCAGCAGGTCGAAATTTCGAAGCCCTCCACCACGACGTCCCTCATTATCACATGATAGTTTTGTGACGTAAAATCCCAGCAGTTAGCGTTGCATCCAACGCTCTATGACATTGCACCGAACGCGCCGTGATTCTGAACATGCACGCAGGAAAGACTGCACTGCAATTGTTATTGGTGGACTTGTTTGTTTGTCGTGTATGTGTACATTCGTGATTGGATGCGTGCGTTCTCGGAGGTTTTTGCTGTGTGTGTTACGAGTTCAGAGCTGGTGTTATAATGCAGTTCCTCGAGCACGTGTGTCTGTGCGGAGCTACCACATCACTCACTCTTACCGCGCTCCCTGCAGGCGATGAGACAGCGCTCTCCGGGCGTCAAATCCGGTCCGGCGAGGAAGCACTCGACGAGGCCGTACTTGCGGCACACGGAGCGTCGGCACTCGCCGGCCTCGCACAGTTGCGTGCCCTGGTTGCAGACGGTGCCGTTGGCTCTCCACGCGGACGCCGGGCACGAGGCGCTCTGACCGCTTCATTTCGCTAGTCAAGAACGAAGCTCGCTAACGCCACCATGTGTGGGAAGTGATGACTGTTACGCACATGATTAGGAGGCCCACACGCCAAAAGTGTCATGGCTACCTTACTGTTAAATAAAAGTGTGGGCATGTTAAGGGAGAGGATACAGAATTTTAAGTGGACATCTAACAAGTTAAAAATTCTTAGCGCGCACAAAAAACGGGGATGCACAGACAGGAGGCACAAACGAGCTCTTCTGTCTGTGTGCCCTATCTTTTGTGCGCGCTACAAAAATGTCCGACATGAATTCATACCAACTTACCCAGCTATCAATTTTGCGGGTCGTTTCTTGTTTCCTTGGCATTCAGTGTTAATTATCCCTGCACCGGTACCAGGCAACTTGTACAAGTTGTGCTAGTTTGACTTAAACGCTTTTGTCACCAGGCATTTGCAAGTCAGCTTCCTCGCAATGTACATTATCATGACGAGTCAAATCCACTCACTAGGTTTGCGAGCTCTGCATTCAGCCAAAGTCGCTGTCGGCTTCTCTGCACGACGATGTACTCATCATTTTTTTACGCTCACCGCGTGCAACTGACGGCATGACAGAACTGATGCAAGAACGTCCAGGTTGCTGCCCCCACACGACATATACTACGTTAGAATGTCTTGACACGTCACTGAAATAACCCCCTCAATATGGAAACCGAAAAACGTTTTTTTTTAAGGCAGTGCTATTAAAATTATATTCTATGTGTTCCTACGCACTCTGATACCATTCTTAATGCTCGCAACACAAAAAGTTGTTAAAGCAGTAATATGATAATGTCTATAATTCACGCCAGTACTCTTTTGAGCCGTGACGCGAAATATAATTTTGCTGAGAGCTAAAGATTTATCTCTGAACATAAAAAGGGCAAGCGAGAAATGTCATTTGTAGCGTGGCGAACGCTCCAGATACTGTTTGCTTCACGTAATCAGAAGAGTGACATTACTTCCCTAAGCAAACACATCGAATACACCAAAGACTATAAAGCCATCCTCGAGAAAAAGTAAGCCCAGCGTTGAAGAACTTTACGAGCCCCTACGTCGCGTTTAATTTTCTGTTCATATGGCGTGTACTTTCCGAGTGAACAGCCACGGCGGGGCTGTCTCTCTGTTGTCCTATTCTCACCAGGATAAGCAAACGTTTAGGTACGTCGAAAGGATACTCGCAGAAGGCCTCGAAGCGACAGTCATCTTCCTGACGACAAGACACCGACGTACGTTGTATACCGCAGCTCTTGGTACAACACGCCGAGTTCGCTGGGCTGGGTGGAAAGCACAAGGATCAGTTGTAAAAAAAAAATTAAACAAATTGGTTCACGTCCAAAAAATATTGCAGGCGACTCAAGGGTGGATCCAGTCACTCATTTTAGGAGGGGGAGGGTCGCTTGAAGTAACACTGGATAGGGGGCGTGGCCTTACTTTTTTTGTTTTTACTAGCGCAACAACTATATTGTAGCATAAATATTGTTAATATGTGCTTATGGTGGTCCCACTCATTAGTCTTAATCAGTGATAGCAGGTGGACAGTAAGGACTGGAGAGGGAGGGGGGCGTGATGACAGAAGCGGGGGAGGGAGAAGCTATAGTTCTTACCCCCCTCTGGATACGCCACTGAGGCGGCCGTAATCCTTAAGTTAGATGTCTGTTAGAGGAGCTCGCACTGGTCGCACATCGATAGTCGTGTGTCCTAGCGTGTATTTCTTTGTTTTTGCTGTGCTTCGTTGCACTGTCGAAGCGGATCACAGAGGCCACGTAAAAAGTAGCTCGTGGTTGAAATATATTCCACCAGGTTGCGGTACAATTCCGGCTGCTGGCAGGAAAATCATCTGCTCTGTCAAAAAAATTCATTCAATTAATAATTACAGTTTGTGATGCCTTATATGAAGAAAATCGTATGCTCCGATATTATCTGTTTCACTCTTAACGCTAACCACCACCATCGATTAGCACCCGACTGGAGGTGTTTGGAAGTGAAGCAAGGATGTCATACATTGCCCGCACCACTAAAAAGTGACACCTAGTCTCATTAGGTAAAGCTGACAGCACAGACGTAAGAATATATTCTCTTTATTGAAACACTGATCTCTAAAGGTGGTGGAAATGTTAAAAAAAGCAGTACTGAGAACCACCCGTTTGTACTGTAGCACCAGAGTTGTATACGTGGTGGAGGTGGTGAACTAAATAATTAATAAGTAATAATTATTTAAGAACTTTATTTATCTCTTGTTAAAAGGAAGGGGGCAATAAGACAGTGTGTGGTGGGGAAGAACTACTTGAAATGGTCCTCCTCTACCCTCTAAGCCCACTCCAACATAACCTCACTTTCTTACCCAGAAAGGGGTCGTGAAGGACACTTAGCTAGGCGCCAGGTGCAAAGGGCATTTAGCACGTCGGGAGGGAGAGCTCCAAGCTCTCCGCAGCCTAGCGGGCTTTCTGAACAGCCTGAAGTTCGTCTGCTAGAAAACGTTTCAACACTTTGGCTCATTGTTCCTTGTTCTTGACGTAAGTATCCCTCGATGCACAACCACATAGCATGTGGTTCAAATCTAGACGTTCACGAAACTGTTCACACATGTTGTCCGTCGTAGTCTGGGTCGACGTGCTTCATACGCCGTGGGCTGGGGTATGAGTATGTCTGCAGCAAGCATTACGTGACTGTCTGGCTACACGTTAACTTCTTAGCCGGGAGGGAGTTACTATCGCCGGCCTCGATGAAATTGCTTCGTGATTTTGCTAAAGTGAATAGTTCATTCCTGCTCTCCATGTGCAGTTTGGGGGAAAACCGTAGTGACGCGGTCTATGAGTACTTGCGCCGCCTCGTGTGCGGTCTCGTTGAGATTCCGCGGGACGTCCCTTCAGCTACCCGTCTGTCGGGAACCAAACGAGGGAGTGATCGGTTATGTCCACCTTGTATTCGCAGTATCGTCTTGTCTATTCCGCCCTCAGCGAAAGCTCGAGTGGCTTGCTCTAGAGTCGTTATAGGATACAATCATTGTAGTATCTTGTATCTGTATATGAACTACTTCTTGCCCGAGTATCTTGTATCGTATCGCGATACAACTTCAAAGTATCCTTGCCCAGCCATTCATACCTGCACTTCGCTCCGGGTCGCAACTTGCACGCTTTTCCCGGCCCACTCTGCCGCGGGTAGCAGCAACGGTCGGTGCATTCGGTGTTGTCGTAGCCGCAGTCGCACTCTTCGCCCACCTCGCGCACCTTGTTGCCGCAAAAAGGACCACGTGGCTCTGCGTAAGAACGCGCGCATGTAGGCGTATGGTAAAGAGAAGAGCTTGTGGGGTCTCGAAATGACAGTTGCGATCTCGGAACCATGACCTACTGTACTCCTGACCTGCTCAGATGGCAGAGCTACTATAGGAACGCGTGTCCCCATTCTCGTTCAACTACTCACCATTAGTGGCGCTACCTATAACCGGTTCGTCTGCTACTTTACGGTTGTTTTGAAGGTGCTGGAATAAGAACGCCTGTATTCTGTGGTGAACTGCCGGCATATATGTGACTATTTGTTCACTCACATTGCTGGTCAAGTAAGCTGTTCAGTGCGCCTAAGTATTTATAGCACACTGGTCGACAAACTTTGGAACACGTAGATTTACATGGTGTAGGACAGCCTACATGTTGCCGCGTCCATTTGATTGCAAAAAAGGAATCTGAATGACTTTTGGTACATTTGTTTCTGGATAATTTTAAATGGGGCATAATAAATACGCACTATGAGCGCTTTGTTGATCGAAATTTGACTACGAACAGTGAGGGTGACGTCAGCGAACAGGTGCTGACTAGCGCCACGCCGCTCGTAGGTTACGGCCCTAGCGGCAGAAGGTATGAACTAGAACGTGGGAGCTGGAGAGGGGCTCTCTGGGCAGGCCAGGAGTAGAGTAGGTCGTGCTCGGAACGGCCGGACAGAGTTGACGTCGTCGAACCAAACCAACATCATTCAACTGCTTTTACAAACGACGATATCGTCCGCCGAATCGATTACGTCACTATAGTGACAAGCCAAGCGACCTTCTACAATATTCCCAATACGACACCCAAACTAAATAACAAAGTACCGCGAATGCATCGTCACCGATGGCCAAATCACCCCAAGAGACCCACCGGACACGCCCGCGGTGCCGCTGCCTTTGGACTCTCTGCAGGAGACGTTCTTCGCGATCGCCGCTCCAACGCCAAAGAGACGCCCCAATGTTTTCGGTGTGGCCACATAGCCTCGCCACCAGGTGGGGCTGCTGGCGCTACTGGACCATAGAGTTAATATACAGTGTGTATATTCACTCTATGTACTGGGCTAACCATTGTGATGATGATGATGATCCCGTGCGAGCACAACGCCCCCTCTCGCTTGCTGGCGGTTAATCCTAAATGCGGCTTATTCGCGAGATGCGTATGCCATGGGGCTCAAACAACCTCACAGGAGGGGATAGCACACTTTCAAGCTGCATGGATAAAATCATACGCGTTCATAGTGTTTTCCATTACAGAAATGGATGGGCACCAGGGCAGGGTCGGGATCTTTTTACGGTGGGAGGGGGGGAAGGAATGCAGCCGTACGCCCCCTCTGCTTTGTGTCGCACGACTACCGTGCGGAATCAATTGATTTCACTTACATTGGCGCGTTTTCGACTGTGCAAGCGTAGATGCCAACGTGTACCCGAAAATCGAGAAATCCCCACAGACCAGAATTTTTATGGCTTGCAGGGAGCAGCCATTTTTGCTGGGGAGGCGGGTGCTGGCTACGTGGACCGAATGACTACGCTTACATACAGCCTGTTCTTATCACACGATGGCCGCCAGTACTCGCTCGCCATCTACTGTGATGTAACTATCCTATAGTTCCTATACGCTGGCCTCGCCGACAGATCACAACAGGGGATAGGATTATGTATGCTTGCTCTAAACGTAGATGTGAGAGTAAAAACCCACGTAATTCTATGAAGCGAAGCATGACGAGTGGGCGAAGCTCTGGGTATCGTATAGATGAGTAACCGTACGTTACCCGAGCGTTGCCCCGCATAATGTAAATTGAGTGACGTAAAGTGCATACAGAAATGTAAATTTATATCGCCTTCCAGACGCCTTAGTTAATTCGAGGAGCATTTAGAAAATTGCTGGAGTGGAGTATATGCCATGAAAGTGAATCCAGAAGCCGCCATCCTAACAGCGGCAACATACTATTTTAATATGAATAATTTGTTTGGACACTTATTGCTCCACGTGCGACTTCGTGATACAAGTTTACTTGAGAAGCCTCAACATCTAGGCACTTTTTAGTAGTGATCAACTGATCAATACTTTTCTAGATGTTTTTTTACTTCTTCGTAGAGATCAGCATCTCTTACCTTATGATTATGTCTTTGTTGAAGTTCATTGTAAAACCTTTACTTGTGGCTCACATAGTTCAGACAATAGCAACATTTCTATAGTGAGACCACAACTGAAGAGAAGGCTACGTCGTAAGGAGCTTCGCCCCTAAAATAATCTGGTCTATAAACTCAACGCTTTCTCTTAACATCGTGCACGAGTTTCACGAAAAAATAAGTGGCGAGGAGGAGAGTGCACCTGTAGGAAGAGTATTGAGGTGGAAAATAAACCACTCTACGGGTCCGTGCATTGCCGCTGAATTCCAGACGCGAAGCTAGCTCACCCTGAAAGCAATTGGGACTAATCGCTTCTCCGGCGATGAGTTCCTTGAGAACGAGCGAGATGTTCCCGATGCTGCAGGGCGAGAACTTCAGGTTGTTCGGCTCGGTTCCACGGCGCGCACTCGGGTACATGAGGTAGTTGCCTGCGGTGCCGCCCGGTGTGCACTTGGGCGGGTAGTCGTGCTGTGTCATCAAATGGGTGCAGCAAATGTCAGTCATGCATAGCAGCAGCGATTGCTATACGCTATATTAACTTAAGCACAACTTGGGATCTCGTACTGCTATTAACTGCGTCTCGGACTCGCTCCATGTTTCCTTATTTCTATGCTTGCCTCACACACTTGTAATAGTCGCTTCTACTATTACCTACCACTCATTTAGGCTTCGTGTAGGCTAACTGCATCGACTTTTTTTCCCTTCTCCTTTAGAGGCTAAAATTCCAAGGCTCTACTTCGAGACCCTTGTTTAGGGAAGAAAAGGGTCAGTGTTTGTAACTACATACAGTTTGCCCTTTAAGCGCCTCTCGTCGCATGAACGTAGAGGGCGGTGGCGAGCTTTGGAGTGGGCGGAGACTACGCGCCGCAACGTAGCTAAAGCGCCTCCGTATGTTGACGGCGCCAACCGCTGTTCGCAAACATGGAGTACTAAGCCTATATCTTTACTGAATCGTACCTGTCCTGCGATTGTTCAATGTGTAGTCTATAGAAATTCACAGTTTGACGATAGCGAAGGCCGTGAACTCCTGATGCCGCATTCCACGAATGGCTTACTTGCCCCCTTTATCCCCATAAAGCCGTGGGCCAAACGCAGGCCGTTGTGAGCACCACGCCATTGCTTCCTTTCCAGTTTTCGATGCATTGAAAAGCTTCATTTCTTTCGAACTGTCCCAAACGGGTCATGGCGTGTGTGTGAGAGGGGGGGGGGGGGGTAAGGAGTGAAACCTCACCCCCTTCTCTGCCGGCCTAATTTACAGCCCCGCGCACGCTTATTATAGCAGTAACATCAACCAACTGAGGCGACTCGGAAATCTCTTGTCCCCGCCGCGGTGGTCTAGTGGCTAAGGTACTCGGCTGCTGACCCGCAGGGCGCGGGTTCGAATCCCGGCTGCGGCGGCTGCATTTCCGATGGAGGCGGAAATGTTGTAGGCCCGTGTGCTCAGATTTTGGTGCACGCTAAAGAACCCCAGGTGGTCTAAATTTCCGGAGCCCTCCACTATGGCGTCTCTCATAATCACATAGTGGTTTTAGGACGTTAAACCTCACATATCAATCAATCAAATCTCTTTTACATCTCCCTTGTCCTCGCTGTCTGCACACGTACCGGCGATCCAAAGTTGTGGCCCAGCTCGTGGGCAAAGGTGACCTCGGTGTCCCGCTGCGTAAGACGCACATTGTTATTGACGAAGGTTACCAGGCCAGTGTTGAGGCTTAAGCTTCCTCGGTAGGTCAGCGCCTTGACCACGTTGGCACCGAAGTGGAACTTGTCGCAGATGCCGCCCGTATCGACTGCATTCACGTGTGTACAGCCGTGAGCATCACTTACTGGAACACAAAATCGAAGTTGAAGCGACGATTGCTCGTAATTCATTGATACGATTTCGGCGTATTATCTCACCGACGAAGTTTTTTATTATAAACACCGTTTTCCCTCGCAAAAGTGTGCGGATAATGTAGGCGTTCTTTTTTATATTGACAAAAGTTGACCATGTTGCATATGACTCCATGGCGAATACCTACAATCGCCCACCTTTTAGTCATACAAGGCCAGTTGTCCAATAATCACCATATGTAATCTTCCCACGTTATTTATGGGAACGGAGAGCTTTAAACTTTGGCAGAATTGTGTAAATACATGTTAAAGTGACGGCTTAACGTCACTATGTGACATCACGATCAATTTTTTACACCGGTGATTTTCCGGAAATCAGCTAACATATGGTATTATCCAGCTATGCAAGCCCACTAGTTTTGCTTCCCTTGCGGAAGAGCAGGAGATGCTCATTCATTTTACTTCTGGCATAAATGTTTTGTCTATTAATTCTTTAGGGCGTCTTGTTAACTACGTAGTAGCGATTTTTCGTGGCAATCCAGCAGCTTGACTAAACGCAACACTCTTAGCCGCCTCTTTGCGAGCGTAGTAAAATTCACTCGAATGAAAGCCCCCCTATGAGTTGAGACAGGCCAACGTTACAAACGTAAGACCCCCGTGTGTTAACGCATCCTGTAGGAAACCGCCGGGTCAGCAGCTATGCGTGCGCAAGATCAGCATTGACCTTTTGAATTGCCCTTTGAGCCAACTTAGCGTGTCCGCAGCTTTAAACTGCTCCGGAACCAATTTTCCAAGTAATCATCGAATGACCTCAGGCCTGAAGCTTATTGCTTCTCGAATCGATTGCCGCAAAAATCACTCGTATTCATCAAGAATGAGCAGAGGTATAGAAACAGTCACATGCTTTGTTTATTCGCTCTTCTCAACAAGTGCGCTGCAAGCTAAACAGAGAAGGATGGCACGTGGCGTAGAGGTTGCGCCGGCCCGCGTCATGACGTTGAGTGAGGGTGATGAAAAGTGATCCCTCTTTACCGTTTTAATTCCTTCGAGCGCAAGTGTGACTACTGTATAATAATAGCAGACTTTAGAGTGCGGCACCTGCATGTGGGGCATCCCATGTGCTACGCAGTGCATCCGATCCAAACGCCGCTCTTCATTTATGTCGGCTATCGGCCAATAGCAGCCGTCTGCTCTATGCATGGCATCACACAGCAGCCACCGACAGCTCACCAGAAACTGAGTACGATCCTGGTGCGGGTCTTTGTATAAAAATGGGATGTTCGAAAAAGTGGCAACTTCCCACACATCTTCAAGGTGGCTGAGATATTCACTGCACTGTCTACTCCCCACAGGAAGCATATCGTCACGTGTTCGCGACGTTGGCGAAGACAGCAGTAGGCGTGTTGAAGACTAGACGCTTTGTTCGGACGAACCTGTGCCCTGGAAACGAGAAATCCACTATAGAAGATTTCAGCGTTATTGCTGGTGGCCGCGTTAGCTCTCGAATCAGACTGTATATTAGAGTCCTGTACGGAAATTTGACGGAGTGAGCTAAAGCAATCGCGTAGCTACTGAAACCTTGCGGCGGGGTCTGCGCCGAGCGTTGCGAACAGTCTTTGCGGGTGAGCTTCGAACACATCATCATAACACGAGTGGCAGCACTTTTAACCCATGCAGTCCGAGGGGTGGTTCATGACTCTCTTATTGAGTGTTAGGGAAGGCCATTATGCGCCTGCGAAAACCACACCTTCGGACTCCGCGAGGTAGGCGAGTCCAAGCGTTCCGCCGGGGAAGTCCCGGTACGTCCATATGTGTGACACGCAGAAGTTGTCGTGATTGATCTTGGACATCTCAAACAGTATGTGCGCCGCGTCCAGGTCCTGGCGGCAGAACGGATTCGTGTGCCGCACTCTGCCTTCGCAGGAGTTGGACTCGTTGATCTGCGCGCCACGCCGTTTGTCTATCACTTCTCACAAAGTAATCTATAGAAACTTGGGGGCATCCTAAGAATTTCGTACAAGCTCAAGCAACAATAAACCAGATTTTCATTGGCTCTGCACTTCTGTAAGATAAATGTTACAACTGGTCTCAGCTGTTTACTTAAGTGAACTGTTCCTCTGCTTATAATAAGCCATGCCCATTATAAAAGAAATCTTCCCTATTTATAACTATAATGTACTTGAGGGCGAGTGTTCATGCCGAAACTTGTCACGAAATTTTCCAGAACGTCACATTTTCAATTTTAAGTTATTAATCTGTAAGGTAATATAAAATTGTTTATGCCCGAAGCGTACTTGACGTCGCATAAGTGATCGGACCTAATTGACTGGTGCATATATAGAACTTTTTTATTGACGTCACTGTATTTTGATGTCGCTGAATATAGCCATGGCGTAGTTAAGTTCTTAGTTTATCATCAGCGACAACAGCAAATCATTGCAAAATAAGTTCTGCGGATGGCCGCAAGGTGGTGGAAGAGTGAACTGACGACCACAGGCTTGTACTGTAAAGCCTCGAGAAAATCTGTATAGAAAGAAAGTTTTTTTGTCGATAAAAATTCGGCCTGGCCCATAGTTAGAACGCAGCACCAACGTCTTTCCAGAGTGTTCGTTTTAGAAATTTAATTTATTTTATCTATCTTCCTGATTTAATCAGGAAGGAAAATATAAACCCGTTCTTAATTCTGTAGCTAACTTTATTGCTATTCAGTTTGCCCAACTAATGGCGCCTATAGTCACTTTCTGCGACCATCAAACTCAAGCACAGTTTTCTTGTACTGTTGTTGACTTGGCGTATTTGACAAACAACCATGACAGACGAGCCTTAGTACGCGAAACTGGTACCTTGAAGAACGACAGGTGCCGCCATTACTTGGGAGAATGCGCAGCGTAGGGAAACGCTCGTGCGGAATCAGGAAAGGGTTCATTGGCAGTGTGATGACGAATGAATTAACAAGCCAAAGCACATGAACATACATGCTAATGAACACAAATGAACTCATGGACATAGTGATATGTACTTCGATTTGTCCATCAGTTGACCTTCGCCCTGCCAATGGCTAGTTCCCTAGTTAGTTCCGTTGGTAGAGCGACCACATTGTTAGCCAGTTTTCATTTTTAAGGGTGCTTTATTTGTCTACAACTAACATGCTACGATAAAATTGTTCGGGGTTGTCAGAACACCCTTATCGTAGGCTGTTAGTTATAGACATGGCAAGCACCCTTAAGGGTGCAATCTGGTCAACCTTGCACCCCGGAAAGGCGTTGGTATTCGAGCGCTGGATCACGACAATTTTTTTTTCTATACAAATTCTCTTGAGACTTTGTGCTACAAGCGAATGATTATAAGTTCCCGCTTTTATGCAAGACAGTGTATTGCAATTAGACGTGAAGACAGTCCAAGAATAAGGAAAGGAACATGGCAGGGTCAACCAAGTTCACTCACGAACACAATAACATAACTGGTGGAGTTTTACGTCCTCAAAACACCATATGAACAGTATGCACGCCGTAGTGGAGGGCTCCAGAAATGTTCACTATCTAGTTCTCTTTAACGCGCAACTGAATCTAAAGGTACCACAATCTACCAGCATTTCGCGTTTATCGAAATGCTGCCGCCGCAGTCGGGATTCGATCCCGCCACCTCTGGGTCACTAGTCGAGCACAGTGACCACTAGGCCAAAGTGTCGGGTCACACACAAAGAGACAGCGAGAGATCCACACTGCAGTGGTCACGCACCCGCAAGCGCTGCACCTCGAATGAAATACCGGTGATGCCGTCGAAGTCGGTCTTGCTGAAGATTTCCGTGGCGGCTGCCGCGTGCGTGCCCACCATTGTTGTGACGGCCTCGAGCGCTCTGTCACGATCGCCACCCTCCTCGTTCAGGTACGACTCGAACAGCAAGTGGTCCACCACCACTTCGACGTTGCAGACGCGCTTGAGCAATGTGCCCGATCGTCGCTTCGAACCCCCCGCCCTCTGCACAAATTAATTTAATCTGTGGCTTTTATGAGCAGATACATACGTATGCATATATGGGACATCACGGCGACGGCATAAACCTACCGAATTGCTATCGCAAACAGACAGCTTCACCAACGTGAAGCATGGAGAGGTGTGAAGCGCCGGTGTTTCTTATTAGACACGTCAATAGCAATGAGAGGATGCAGCGTTCTCTCAATGCTACGACGAGGGGCCACGACGAGAGGAGACGCCAACAGTCCGAGAGAATAAGGGGCTTCACACATAAAGGAGTACTTTTTTTAGCTTAATGCTGAACATGAGGATACAATCCCGTTATAAGAACAACGCTCCAGAGCACGCATCCATCCTGCTCAAAAATAACTTTGCCATGACGTAGGCTCCTTGCCACTAAAGATGTAGAAAGATTTTGGTTGTAGCTATTACGGTAAGATTGATGCCATATGCTCTCCGAGATAAAAGCTTCGCACGAACATGTAACAATTTACTAATGCTCATTATGGCGGGGCAGCTCGTTATGATCAGACTGTGATAGAAGTCCCACATCGGGCTCGTCTAGCTATATAGACGCACCCGAACACTACAACTGGGGCTCACTCGATTCAATAAATATTAACTACTTACACGCTTTTTAGAGAAAAAAAAGAATTCTCGTACTGTGGGTTCAGGAGACTCCGTCGAGGCGAGAGGTACCGAGGACAGTTTCCAAGATTCGTTGGCCATAGCTGCGGTCGAGGGTGTGCCATGGACTTCTACAAGCGGCTCGGTAATGGAGCGCTTTCGTCTGATTCTTCCATAGGAGCGCTGCTTCTTGGGATCCTTGCGGAGAGCATTAAGAAATACGTTGCAGACGGTACGGATGCCTTAACGAAAAGCTGGAAACATTGTTACTAATGGGTAGCATACGCGAAGCTAGCACGAAGCTGCGATGAAACCAAAGCAACATCATAGCCCACAAAATGTTGCAGATAAAAGAGACAAGGAAGTAGCTGATTACGGGAAGTCACGTGAACGTTCCGGGTCATAATCACGTTTTGAGAATCGTCTTTGCAATAGCTCATCGGCCTCAAAAATTGTCGAGTATAATTGGCAGCTTTTGCCGAAACTAAAGCACGATTCCCTGTTGCACTGGGTTGCACGGCAACTTGACACGGGATGGCGCACTGCGAAAAGCGTTTTGACATTTAATACTCTGCTCGCGACTGAGAATACGATTCTCTGACACACAAGTAACATGCAAAAAAAAAAGATTGACGTGCGAACTTGAAAGGCGTTGATTTTGATGGGATATAAATAATTGTTGGAGTTTTAAGTCCCAGTAGCACGATGTGATTGTCAGGGACGCTTAATGAATGGCTCAGGAAATTTTGGCTACCTGGGGTTCTTTAAGTGCACCTAAATCTAAGTACACAGGTTGAAAGCATTTCGTCTCCGTTTAAATGCGGCAACTGCGGCTGCAGTATTCATAGAGCGACCCTCGGGCGTATGCTTTGAGCTATTCTCCGCTGTCGGGCTCGTAGTATAAGGCAAAGTAAGGGAAGCCTTAAAAACATTCATGTCCCTTAACACATTCACGAGAAAAACAGTCACGTTGAAAGTCGCACATGAATCAATGAGTGAATGGTTTCTGCAACATATAATCTACAGCAATCGGACAGTGATAGTTTTGTTGACGCTAGATAAACAAACAATGTGTTTTGTATATTTCGCAACAAAGTTCACATAAATTACACAGAAAACTTACGAGAAAAATGGTCTCACACATGTACTGTCGGCCGCAAAAGTTGGCGGGATCTGCCACGCGAGGCCGAGCGACGAAAAACGCGTCACCGTGACGCGGGGGGGGGGGGGGGGGTGTTGAGGCTATCAGCTTCTTTGATTGGCGGTGGCACGTTTAGCCAACGTATCGTGACCGAATCTTATCCTGGAGGCTGCGGCCGATATCTTCAACAACCACCCTGTCATGGTAGTTGACACATCTATGCAGTTTTTCGTTTAGTTTTTCGTCGCTCGGCCTACGAGGTCGACAGCGCATCCACGAGCCTGGGGCCAAGCTCGATGCGCGGCGTATACCTTGCGTTGCTTCTTCCGTATTTGGCTCAGGAAAGTCTGAGTGGCTCCGTAGAGGCCGCATCGACCCCCCGACGGCACAACGTCGCGAGACGAGTAGATGATCGAGTGGACGCGGGGGTCGCGGCCGGGTCCCAGGTAACGGCTGGCGCTCTCCACGTGGAAATGCTCTTCGGTGCCGTCAGCTCCGGCCAGGGCGATACGACCCAAAAATACGCCTTTCGTCAGGCCACCCACCACACGGCTACCGGGATATCCTGCGCAGAATCGGCGACATTGGTCCAAGATTAGCATTTTTTCCCTGTAAATATATGCAGAAATTAATAAGAAATTTAGAAGCCCTCGCACCAGGAGTCTTCCACGCATATTTTATATATGTTGCAGAAATTACAGTGATGCATGATTCACTCACTCGTTTTGCTTTGGCTGTAAGCAGAGGTGGGCGCCGGGTTCCCCTTCAGGAGGGGGGAGGCAAGATTATATATTATCCCCCCCCCCCATTCGAATATATGGTCAAGAAGACATACACGACACTGTGTATGTGTCCTGTCATGTGAGCCTTGTTCCTATAGCACTGTCCCTTCATTCAAAATCAGTATGTATCAACCAGCCCTATTCAAGACCACAAAGAAAAACAACCTTCTTCCCGATTGAGAAAAAAAAAAAAGGTTAAGCAATGGGGTGATTCCCACTATGGCTTAAGTGTTTGACCTTCAGGGAGCTAACACGGAAAGTAAGCTATTCTGGGAATGACACAGCAGTGGTCTTTAGCCACCGTTATTGCAAAAAAAATAAAAAAACTTGTGTGATCATAAACCATCTCTATAAATAATGACGGGACAGGTCTGACTGAGAAATAGTATGGGGTAGACTCTTCACCCATTTCAAGTAATTATCACCATTTTCCAACCCGTGACACCGAATGATAACATTGACTCGAGGTACATGAATGGGCGAGATCACAGCAGCGCTAACGGAATGCTGAACCATTTTTTTTTTTTGCTTTTTACGCAGAGTCTGGCCTGCTTCGCCGATTCTGTCATCGACTCGTCCGAATTCTTTCACTCGGAAAGCAATGGAATGAACTACCCTTTTTCGACTGAGTTTCGGCACGTGCACAGCTCGGGTCTTGGTGGCGTGAACGGCCCTGTCTACTTCACTGGAGATAGTTCAGGCCTGTTCATTGCTTCGTCAGCTGACGTTCGACGTGCCGTCATTTATGACGACGACATCCCAACTGCTCTAATTGTCGACCTACCTGAATTGGTGACAACGTCGACAGGGCATATGAGGACATCGTCGACGCCTCCCTTTTATCAGTGGGCGAATTCACAGCAGCTCTAGCGGAATGCTGAACCATTTTCTGCTTGTTAAGCAGGTATATTAACTTCCGAATGCCAAGTGCATTGATTCAGACATTCGCTTCCTGCTGCTGTGGTCTCGCACACACAGTTTGCCTTGTACCTCTGATATTTCGTTTTTTTATCTTTTTTTTTGCTCTGGAATCATAGTCTGCGTTAGCAAGCTTCTTTTGTCCGGCGAAGTAGATCTGAATTTAGGGGCCTCCTCAGTTAAACAAAGCTAGCACTCGTTTGCGTGGTTCATCCTTTGCCGACGAGACGGGTGATTCTGATTCTGCTGATGCTGACGTAAATTCAATGACACAAATACTTACTGAGGTTATTAAGGATCAAAAACGTATATTTTAAGATATACCTGATATCAAAAAATTCTATGAAACTGTCAATTCTAGGTTTGATGCTTTAGAGACTCGTGTCTCCGCATTAAAATCGCTCCCCATTACACTTCACCCCCAGCCGCCAGTAATAGTGTGAACAGCGATATTCAGCAGCTACAGATCAAGATAAATCAACTCGCCATGCGTAAGGATGATCTTGAAAACCGGTCTCACCGTAATAACTTGCTGCTGCATGGTCTCGCCAATCGAGACACAGGATGAATCCACCGACTTTCTTTTGCTTAACCTTACTAAATGGTTCAAAGGAAATCTACAAATTGATTGCCCGAATATTGAAAGGTGTCACAGATTGGGACGTCGGCAAGCCGATCGACCTCGTCCCATTCTCATGAAGCTGCTCGACTATCGCGTGAAAACAATTGTCCTTAATAACTGCAATAAACATATACCGCATTTCCGAAGTCTATTTATCACGTGTAAGAACTATCAGAAATAAGATATAGGATGCATCAAAATCCTTTCGGGATAATGGCTCCATTGTATGCTTGAGCTTTGATCATGCGTTTATAGATCAAGTTCGGTACAACTGGGACGATAACACTAATACTCTCGTTAGTAATTATTCTCGCCCAGCAAAAGCCGCTTATAAAGTCACCATTAATGATTCTTGACACCTCTGTAATTATGCTAACGAACACCTGCGCATCTTAATTGTTAACGCCAGAAGCCTAGTCAATAAGTTTGCAAATTTTCTTTCGCTTATGACGGCCCATTCACCGCACATAACTGGCGTAACAGAAATTTGGTTGAATGAACGTATATATGACAGCGAAATAACGCCTCGTGATTTCACGGTCATCAGAACTGACAGACAACATGGCAGGGGAGGGGGTGTTGCACTGTTTCTACGGTCTGACCTTAAATTTTCAGTTACCTCCAGTCCACCTGATACCGAATCTGTTTGGTGCAAGATCTTTTTCGGAAGTATTTCCATAGTCTTTGGCATGGCTCACCATCATCGAACATAGATCAGCTGCTCACTTTAACAACCTTCACTCACAAGCGTTTCTTATATATTTCCAACTTGATATGTCTGGGTGACTCCAGGTATTATATGGTCATCTCTCTCGCTAACAGGCTATGACGTGGAAACCAACAAAGTTCTGTTAGATTTTTAGCTATACTTTGGATTCAAACAGATAGTTCAAACCAACACATGAGGAGATGCAGTTTAAGATTTAGTTTTTTGTTAATCATTTCCCCTTAGACAACGGTTATGAATGCGAAGTTTCTGATGGCATTTCAGACCACAAGGCCGTTCTATAATCTATTTCGGTTCCTGTGCGTAGCAACAATTTGGTCTATTCTACATTCTCTGATTCTTCACGAGCAGACGATGCATCAGTTCTTGGTCTTTTATCAAGTTCTTTGGTTATTTTGAACGCCTCGACGAATGCGAGGATGTTAATTCCTTGGTGGCTTTTTCGAAAAAACTGTGACAAGTTGTATTGAGCGTTTCGTCCCCAAAAAGATTAAAAAAAAAAAAACCCAGCTTCCCTGGACATCACGTGGCATACTTCACCTGTCGCGTCGTGTTGCTAGACTAAGGCGCCTAAAAAGAAACGGTGATCCCAATGAAATACAGGAATTTAACCTTGCCAAAGAAGAACTTCGGATCAAAATGAACCATTTTAAAGACTTCTATTTAAAATTACGTTGCAAGATTTAATGAAAAGCAACCCTAAAGAATTCTGGACTTCTGTTCTACCCACCTTAGCTGCCTTAAATACTGTTGTTATAAATAATGTCCCTTGTAGTGACCCTTTAACCATTTCGAACGCGTTCAACGAATACTTTCAGTCGGTATTCACAACTTACAAACTAGATATCCCAAGTTTTTATCATGGCTCAGATAACTCAATTAGTGACATTTCCGTGTCCCTCGACGGTGTTATGACTTAATGTTAAATTTAGGAAATAAGAAATCTCTTCGTCCTGATGGCATTTCGAATATTTTTCTTCTTAGATATTATGAGTGGACTATAGTAGCTATTTAACCGTAATTTTTCGAAAGTCTTTATGCACTTCAACTGTTCCTTCGTCTTGAAAATTAGCCGAAATTCTTCCTACTCATAAATCTGGCAGCAAACAGTCACCATTAAATTATCGCCCAATTTCATTGACATCTCAATCATGTAAACTTTTAGAACACATCATCTTTAAGTATATTATGGAGTTTCTTAAAAATAATAACATCCTCAGTGATGCTCGGCATGGTTTCCATCAAGGCACTATCACTCAACTTGTGGAATTCTCGCATGACATTTCACACGCTTTGGACTACGGTTATAAATTGATGCAATTTTTATCGACTTTTCAAAGGCATTTGACACTGTTCCACGTTCTAAACTTCTGCACAAACTTCACGCTATTCTCAGCGATTCCTCATTGGTTGGCTGGATTACTAGTTTTTAAAACAACCATTCTCAGTATGTTTCTTTCAGTTCCTCAAACTCGCCTGTTGTGAATGTGACATCGGGTGTCCTCCAGGGCTCAGTCTTGGGGCCACTATTGTTCTTGCTATACATAAATTATTTGCCTAAATATGTGTCTTCCAAAATCCGTCTTTACGCTGACGATGGTGTATTGTATAGTGTTAATAATACCAATGACGACCACATTTTACTTAATGATTATTTTGCACAGTTTTGTAGATGGTGCTACACATGGCAAATGAACAGAAATTTTATTAAAACAGTCACTCTTTCTTTCTACAGACTCGCCCCTGTTTTCAATGGCTCCTTTCTGAAACGTGTGTCCAACTATAAGTACCTGGGCCTCATATTCACCGCCATGGCAACATGTCGCCAACATCGAATAGACTTCCAATAAAGCTTTAAAAAAACTGGGCTATCTAAATCACACATTGATAGATGCTCCACGCGAAACAAAATTGCTCACATACAAAGCACTCATTCGTCGGATTTTAGAATATGCCAGCCCTGTACGGAACCCTCATAAAGTATGCGACATCAACGCACTAGAATCGGTCCAAAAGAAAGCCATCCGTTTTATTTTCCGACGTTACTACTGGAACTTCTCACCTTCCTCTCAGCTTGCTACGATATGTCTACAAACTATCTCCGAGCGACGCGACCTCGAAAGCCTCAAGTTGCTCCATATTCTAGCCAATACCTCATGCTACACACTAAATAACGAATATTTGTCTCCCGATAAACTGACACCCACGAGAAACAGCCACAAACTCAATCTGACACCATTCCGTCCACGTACTAACTTATTTAAATTCAGGTTCTTTTTGCCCACTATAGAAAAAATGCATGGAACAGTTTGCCTGGATCAACCAGATTGTTGCCTTTAGATTAATTTTTGAATGAGTGTATGCAATCGCGCTTTGTTTATTAAAAGTGTTATTACTGTTTTTTTCTTTTTTTATTCCAGTGTTGCACTGCCTTGCTGTTTGTATTCTCATGTAAAAAAAGCCCCACTCCTGCGTTATCCTATTGGGCTGCAGTATGTGCGAATAAATAAATAAATATAGTATCACCTCGCGACTGTATCGGTCATAGGAAATGCTGTTAGTAAATGCTGTTTTTACGATAGGTAATTGTTTCGGAAACACCTCCACGGTTCAGTACACTGATGCGTGTAATCATCGCCATGAAATGGTTGACAAATTGTAGAATCGTTAAAATATAGTGACTACTCACCATACGTACGTGCGTGTTCGACCGAGTGTGTGTGTGCTTTATCTGTGTGTGTGTTTACGCACACACACGCACACTCACACAGAGAGAAAGGATATGTTGTTTAAAGAACATGTTTCTTCAAGATGAGTTGAATAACGTGAACTTGCCCAGAACATTGCCCGAGTACATGTGATCGAGGCTGGCATTGACGGGGCCACGGCTTGTCTCTAGAACAAAGTCGTCGGAGAAGGAAGATCGATCTCGCTTCAAGTGAAGCCCGAACAACCTGGAAGTGTAAGTAACGCGCATACAGAGTAATAAACATTTTTTCCCAAATATCACTGCGTCACGTTCAAAGTACACGCGCGCACGTATACACGCAACGAAACTAGAAGCGCTAGAACGAGGAAAATCATTCAAGCACTCCGTAATAATGACGAACCAGCAAAGCCAGAACGTCAGGCCCCAGAGTTTGTCACGAGCTCCGATATATCGAAGTGTCTTCTGTTTTAGGTTTCCATTTCTTCATCACCAAATTTAACATATGTGTGTTTCAGACTTCGTGGTTGGTTACGTTAGCTTAAAGGATATTATGAACACGTAAAAGATTTTATGAGTAGCGAATCAAGCAGCGGCGAGTATCCTCCCTGCATAGCTAAATACGTTGAGAAGAACCTAAAAACTAGCCCAAATGTGAAACCATTTCAGGTAGCGTACGCTAGCACTGCTATTCCTTTACAGTTTCATCACACTCGCTGACTGCCAGACCACCACTTATTTAGACCCACCAACAACATACAGTTACACCGTAAATCTTGTTGCTATATGCCAACTCTCTTCAAAAAGCGGGCAACGTGGGCGCGAGAGGAGTGGTTAAGTTCGAGTTTATACGGTAGTTGTAGGAACACAGCTAAACGTTACGATGCATTTCTTAGTTACTCCACTACGTACCTGTTCAGAGCCTTGAAGGTCACCTGAAAGTTGCCGAAGTCGCTTGGTTGAGCGACGGAGCGCTTCCAGCGGCCTCCTCCTGACCTCCTTCCGCGTATACTCACGGGCTCGTACGACAGCGGCTCGTAGTGCCTCACGTAGCGGTTGAGGACTCGTCCTGCGTTGTTCATATCGAACTATATTGGATTTCCACGTGGAGGAGAAAGTCCGAGGCCGCTTACGAAGTGAAATGAATGATTACTCGTGTTCAATGTAGATGAAACCTCTCACGTAAGCTCAATAATAATAATAATAATAATAATAATAATAATAATAATAATAATAATAATAATAATAATAATAATAATAATAATAATAATAATAATAATAATAATAATAATAATAATAATAATAATAATATGATATTGTTTTTGTTGTTGTGAGGCTTCACGTGATAAAACCACAATATCATTGTGAGGCAAGCCGAATACAGGCGGGCTCCAGGTATCTCGACCATTTGGCGATCTTTAACGTGCAGTGACATCGCACAATGCCCGGAGTTCTGTCGCCCACATCCAAATGCCACCCGCGCGACAAGGATCGAACCTATGACCTTCAAGCCAACAACCGAGCTACGTGGTAATTGCATCGTCGATGAGAATTGACTTAGACCCCTACGCAGTGGCAACATTGAGATGGGGCTCGATTGCAAGAACCGTCACTGTACCCTTACTGGGTGAGCGCCGCAGAACTCCTTAGTGTATGACGAAAATTAATACTCGATACCACCATATGACATGCCTCTAGGTCAGATTGGGTTTTGTACGTAGCATCACCTATAACTTCAAGTTGACCTTAAGAAGTGGATGTTTAAGCGCTCGTCTTTGTTTGTTAGACGCAATATTAATTAGAACTAACTGACAGCGACACCAAGGAAAGCACAGGGAATGTTATCAGTAGTATACTGTAATGTAAATGCGAATAAAGAAAAGTGTATGAAATATAGCTTGCCACTTTCGGTCCCTGCCAGCGGCAAGCTATTCTTCCCTCTTTACTTCTAATAACGTACCCCCAACACTTGGCGTCATTGTCTGTTCGTTCTCATTAATATCAAGTTGATTTTGTTGCAATTCAACTAATTAAAAGAAAGAGCGCGTTAGGCATAAGTTATGAAGGCGATTTATTGAACGTTTTCTAACAAAGCAACAGCGCAAGAAGACAGGCACAGAAGGGGCACCCACGTGCGTGGGCCCCTTTCATCTCTGTCTTCTTACGCCGTTTTTTTTTTCTCGTCACAATGCTACCAAACCAATTAGCCCAACGACAAACACTAGTGCACGCAAAGCTGCACTGTACAGAGCACAGTTCAATAGCTTGAGCCTCTTCATAACGCAGGTCTACTTCCCCTGGTTTACCAGAAAATAAGCAGAAGAAAAGTCACTATTTTCTGCCTCTCGTCATGGGTGCACGGCTCAGTGCCATTGGGGAATAGGGAGGCCATTGAAGACGAAAGTTCAAGGGGCCCTGCAACACTTTTTGAACATGATCTGAAAACACTGCTGATCGGTAGTAAAGGCTACCGACAACACGAGAGCCAAATATTATAGCGCAGCCCGCGGCCTGGAATTCACAACAAATTATCAAATTCAGCTAGAAATTGCTTTCTCTTCTCTCGACAAATCAGGCAATATATTAAAGAATCACACGTAGCAAGCCCATCTATCAGCCATTTGCTGATTTGAACATGGCGCACTCACTCGTTGCAGAGATCGCTGCGGGAGGCCACTGTTGTCCACGCCTGTGCGCGCGATTACATCAAAAAAGCCACACATTCCATGCAAAAAAAAAAAAAAAAGAAGGAGGGGGGGGGGGGGGAGTCGTCAAGGTCATGAGGCCTGCGTTACGTTTTCTTGTGGCCCTCCCATTCCTTTCTGCTTAGCTTCCAGCGCTTTCGTCGGGACTATAGAAGAGAGAATGCAATTACAGCATGGGACAAACCTTTGTAACTCCACTCGCACTGGACTGATTCTTAAAACTTTTGCGGCGTCGAATTAGTGAGGCAATAAGCTCTTCCGGTAACTTGAATTTAAGGTTACTTAAAAAAGTGTTCCTGGGCCCCTTTCAGGAAGAGACCAAGTGTCTGACCGAAAGCTGTGTCAGCGCTGCGGTATATCGCTTCTTCGCTTGTGTCCGTGTAGTCGTGCGCCGATTTAAGATGTCTAAGAAACAAACTGGTCAGCATCTCGTTGAATAGCGCCGGTGGCTGCACTTCCAGCTAAATTGCTGTGAGGTCCGCAAGCATATATAAAAAATGTTAAAAAGGAAGAAGAAATTCTGCCTTGGATGACACTCCAGACCTAATACTTGCTCGACCTTATCGCAACACGTCGATTTCGGCACTCGCGGGGGAAGGGTGGTGGTGGCAAAAACTCGTCTTCGAGCTCCAGCTTCACAATGACAAAACTTTATTTCAAGGATTTGGGACCGGGGTCATGCGGGGCTCGCTCAAGTCCGGGCTTTTCTGACCTGTTCGCAGTACGGGCACAATTTATCTATACACCTAACGTCGTACACCACCTCTATTACTTTAGTCTATATTTACGGAGCATGCTTACTTGATCGTATGACCGATTTATAGTTGAAAACCGTATACCATTACATCACGACACGGAGCTGACCAATTGTATTTCTTCACGACTATTCTAGCTCTTGGCGATTAGAATATCAGAAGTAGAGAAGCTCTGAGAGCACTTACCCGAGCGAACACTTCCTGAAATGCTAATCATGACGATAATTATAACGTAAGAAATCTTCCTGGGTAGCATCGAATGGCGACCGCACATTCCGCCGCTCTTCTTCTTCTTCGTTAGCCCTGCAAAATCGGCACGCACACATCCCCAGCGCGCGCAAGCAAAAGAGCCCTTAGAACCCGGTTCTTGGCCTATCCCTTTTTGTGGGCGAGTGCCAGCAATAAAGAGGTTCATCATCATCAGCATCAGAACCCAGAACATATAAAAAAAATGAATAAACTTTATGTAATCACGGCAGTTTCGTTCGGCCGAGGCAGGGGAAACAGGGGATGAAGCCGTCCCGTCCCACCCTCCGTCGAGTCTGCCTTTTTTTATTTTTTATTTATGTATAAAAATACATGGGAAGGTAGGCGGCTTCAGAGACGGCTATCCCATAGGCGAGTGTGGCACACTCTTTATGCGCATGTTTGGCGTCACGTAGCACGTGAAGTTATTACGAGCATGCAGCTGACCAATAGTCCCTCGTATACAACCTAAAGGCATCAAGTATTCCAGTACGAGACCCCCGTTAATGAATAAAGGAAACAATAGTATACTTAAGGGCTCGTTTTTCTGTGTTCTGTGTTTTGACATAATATTATGAGATCTGCCAGACAATAATACCAAGAAATCTATAGGGATAGTTATTAGACCCAATTGTAATGTGAATGTGAAGAAAGCTCATAAAGAGTGTGCCACACTCGCCGCCATGGCTACAGGTGACACTGACTGAAACTCCCACGTTTGAATTCACATATAAACCCAATAAAGTGGCTAAGGGGATATCCGCCATGGTAGCTCAGTGGTAGAGCATCGAACGCGTTATTCAATGGTCGCAGGTTCCGTTCCTGTTCACTGCAAGTTATTTTTTCACCCACTTTTCTTTCTTCACATTTACGTTTCAATTGGGTCTAATAACTTCCCCTATACATTTCTTGGCATTTTCGTCTGTTAGATCACATTAATATTGTGTCGAAATATGGAAAAACAATATATATATATATATATATATATATATATATATATATATATATATATATATATATATATATATATATATATATGACGTATGAAGCGATGATTGGTAGAAGCAGAGGAGGAAGAAAGAGAAAGAAATAAACATGGCGTATGAGCCAGGCCACGTCGCCCATTCATCATAGCATCACACAAGTCGACAGGATGAAGACCTGCCAGCCCCTTCATCAGTCGCTCATCATCTACGTAGTCCTCCGCATGACACCCTGAGTGTACATGGACTACCGTACAAGCGCCTATCATTACGCATCGACCAGCATCATGTCAGAAGCATCTACGGACCTTCCCATCCCCAAGTACACCGGAGCAGCGGACGATGGACCCGTACAAGACTGGTTCGACCTGTTGGAGTTCCACGCTACCGCTGCATCTTGGTCGGAACGGGAGATGGTTATGAACTTCAGCGACTACGTCACCGGTGAGGCATTTAAATTTTACCTCACCCACATATTCGACAACGACGAGTCTTGGCAAAAGATAGAAGAAGAAATGATCATCTGGTTTCAAGACAATAATGAAGATTCGATTAGAACACACGCTCTCAGTGCATTCGAACTCAGTCATCGCAGTCATAAACAGGCTTCACGCATTCAAGCGCAGAGCATGAATTTACATTTCCCGTCAGGTGAAGTTAGCCACATGCTCACAGAAAGACCACGTGGACGTTTTCCCAACCTTCCATCTGGTCTTCCGTCACTTGACCCCTTGGTTGCTGACTTCGCCCAACTCATGCCCGACACGCTCACTACAGCCGGAATAGAGCAGAGGAATTCGGCGGGTACTCGACCGAATCCAGACTCTTCAATACAGATTCACGCAATAGATGAGCTCAACTCTTTAGTTGCGCAGACTGACCGACATTTACAAGTAATATCTGACCAAATAACGCCTGTCGCAGTGTCGCTGTCCAGTGTCAAGCCAGCTGAGAGTGCAAACAACACAGAAGCATCACCTTTCAGGCATTGCCGTGAACCAAAAGCGTCCGTTAACAACGGCGTTGCAAAAGCCTCCGAAAATCTTTCTGATGATTCTAGCCGGAAATATTTTTTGCCTGACATGAATCATGAGGACTCAATGAGTACCCACTAATTACTGGTCACATCAAGTTGGAAAAACAAGCAGGCTCATGTTACTAAAGGAAAACTACCTCGTCAGGTTCCACAACTGCAGCAGTTACGAAAACTACCAGGACGACGACGAACTAAAATGACATCACAAGCACAGTTACGACTTAAGGAAGGTCGTCAGAAACGACACCGACCAAAGGAAGGACAAAGTCAACATTCGAGCTATCTCCGCAGAAGGAAACGTCAAGGAAGTCTTCTACACCAGATATCCAAACATCGTTCACGATGCGATCAGTGGAG